CGAACCCGTGGCCTTGGTGTTATCAGCACCACACTCTCCAGAGTGAGCCACGGGCCGGCCCCCCAAAAACCACTTGAATTTCCTAATTTATACAGATGTAAATCCAGTGAACATGCCTGGGAATGGTTACTAAGGGTGTGGGATAGCGTTGGAGGTAAGACGAAGTTGCATGGGGCTAAATTTATGACATGGGCCCACTAAGCAGCGATTCTGCATTTAATCCTGCAGCTTGAGGAGTTAGGAAGGTGCTAGCAGTTTGGTGGGTTGGTTGGCTGAAACACGGACCAGAAGGTGGCCCACAGTGAGCATACTGGAAATTCCAGGCACGCCTTGGTTTAACATAGAGGAAGGAATTCTAAGGCTTAGGGAGATTGGAAAGCTAGAGTGGATTTGTCATGTAAAACCTTCTCACCCACTCTGTGAGGCTCCAGAAGACACACCTTTCACCAATACTTTGAGAAACAGATTTGTGGGAGGAGACCCAGCATCCCTGAAGAGCTCTGTGGTTGCTCTTCTCTGTAGACTGGACCTTACAGCAGGAATCGCAGTCAGTCAACTGGAAAACTTAAATATGAAATGGGACTAATTGGATCGCGGGTGGCAGGGGCCAAGCGGCGGCCCTCAACCACCAGAGGCAAGATGGGCGTAGTTACCATAATGGACGGCAGAGGCAAAGCAATAACTGGAACAGCCTGACTTGGGGAGATCTGTGGTGCTGGCTGGTTTTCATGGTGTTCCTGTAAGTCAAATAGATAGGAAGCCTATTAAATTCTGAATCCGTATAAGCAGAAAACTTCCAGGTCAATCAAACAAAAATCTAACTTGAATCATAAAAACAGAGTCATGGCCTCCGTCAGTTCCCACACTTCAGCCAGTTTACAGACCCAGACCCCTAGGAGGCCAGGTCCCCTCCGGGAAGGGCCCTAGGACACTGTCGAAAATTTATACTTTTAATCTATCCCCCAGTATATTAGTCCATTTCTGTTACTTAGAACAAAATACCTAGAACTGGGTAGTTTGTAAGAAAACAAAATGTACTGATTACAGTTTCAGAGGCTGGGAAGTCCCAAAGTCCAGGGAACACATCTGGTGAGGGTCTTCAGTAACACAGGGTATCATACTGCAAGATGGTGGAAGCAGAGAGAGAGAGAGCGCGCTCCTCAGGAACTCTCCTTTTAAAACTCCCAGAACCACGCCTATTATCACAGGAGTGGGGCAATCCATTCACAAGGGCACAGTCCTCACAGTCTAATCAATCTCCTCTCCAAGGCCCCCTCTTTCAATTAGCATAATAGGATTTCCCACCCTCTTTACACTGGG